ATGAAAATCAATTTGACAAATGTAATGACAGGGAGAAATATTATATTCTGTAATTTTTTTCTTTCAAAGTAGTAATTTTAATACTATTTGTTCTCACTCAACTTTAAGTAACTGAACATAAATGGATCTTGATGAGTTAAAGAAAAAAATATAAGAACTTGAAAATAAAATAAAAAATGACAAGGTATGTAAATGAAATTTACTACATAATTACATTAGGTGTATTGTAAATCACCAATATCAGCAAAATATAAAAATAATAGATTTTGTTGTGAAATCCCATGTAAGCAGAAAAGAGTTGCAATTCTTACTAGAAATAATGAGTTTAGGTTCATGATACCATTAACAACTCTAGGAATTAGAAAAGTATAGGCAACTATCTTTAAAGGAAACTGCTGAAAACAGAGGATTCGTAGTCTTCATTCATAGGCCGGAGTCATTTGGTACTTGGCGTTCCAGGATGAGCCGTGTCACAGTCAGTAGGCTTGACGTTTCAGCCATCATGTTGGGGCCTTCTTCTGAGGTATACTGATTCTGAACTACAGACCTGCTGATAGTATAGCTTAGAAGAAGGCCACAACGTGATGGCCGAAATGTCAGCTCGACCGACGGAGATGCTGCTCATCCTGGTCAGCCAAGTTCCAAATAACCCTGGCCACGGAGCCTACAAATCCACCTCACAAACCTCCAAGGGGGTGTATCTTCAAATGGTGCAGCCAGCTCAGCCAACTGAGAATGATGATTCAAAGCTCAGAAGAAGGCCTTGACATGACGGCCGAAATGTCAGCTCAACCGACTGTGACGTGGCTCATTCTGGACAGCCAAGTAACATCTGCAGAAACTAAATTTTCTTAACACCAAGTTATTGAATTATTAAGCAATAATTTTCTATAATTATACACACCGACCTTGTGTTGCCATTTTTATAGAGTGTAAGTATAAAATTACAACATTTTTTTCAGTTTTGTTTTTTACAGAATATTACGAATTGGTAATTCCCTTGTGGTTTTCTATTCTTGCCAATATCTGACCTACTTTTCCATTCTTATCAATAACAAAGTTTCTTTTAATGGATTATTTAGTTCTTAGAGTTCCTACTTCGTTTTCTATCGACCAAATGAGAGGGATGATAATGTAACTTTCTTCATAACATATCTTGGAGAAGACTCAGACACAGTAAAATTTTATTAAATAAAATTTTACTTTTTGTGTCATAAAATAGTATTACTTGTTCCCTCAATATCAATATTTTCTGTGTAATTTATCTGCTTATCTAGAATATTTTATTTTTCTGATAAGGTTTGGTATCAATAAAGGTGGATAATCAATTTGGTATTTGTATTTTGTGTCTATAAATTATACTTTTACTGAATTAATGTTTTTATATTATTCTGGGTGACATATTAAGGAAAATGGCATAAAAGTAATTTACATTAATTAAAAAATTATTTTATTGAGAATTATTTACAAAAAATTAACAAATATAAATTAAATAATACACTGTAAATAAAAATTTTATTTCACATTTAAAATACCAACTGCTGAAATCTGTATTAAAAGATTATAACACCCTTACTGCCTTGTTTCAAAACAATCAAGGATTTTAGTCCCAACTTGGGTATGTGTATTAGGGTTGTTTGCCTTTCAGAATTAACTTTTTTCTCTCTCATTAATCACTTCCAGTGCCAGAGCTAGACAATTTTAGGCCTGGAAGAATGCTGAAAGGTAGCCAGCCACCCTCCCCCTGAAAAAATTTAAAATGTGAAAGTTGTATCAAAACACTATGATTTATTTTATTCCAACAAATACCAAAAAAACATGTTTACACTACAAAAAATAATTTGGAAATATTATTTTAATACTCTCTTTAAGTAAAAGTATGTAGTAATCAAATAATACAATTTTCATGGTGATCTTAAAATGCTAAAAAGTTTTGTTTTGTTTAGTGTTCAATAAAATTACTTATTAAATGCATGAAATAATAAATATGAATTTCAGTTGAACCCATTTTAATGTTAGTGTCATTTGATTTATTTCATAGTGACCTACCTTGTAAATAATGACTCTAAACACATTTTTGGTAAATGATTAATTGAAAATTTTATGAGATATAAGACTACTGCACCACAACATATAAAATTACAATAACCATTTTCTCGAGTCAAAATTTATTTTTTTTTGAATTTTTTAATAATATCTTCCCATCAGCCCCATATCCAGCCTCTTGACTTGCAGGGCCCAGGCAGTTCCCAGACTGCCCCTGCCTACCACTGATTCTGATCACATCTTCAGCTAACAACTGAAGTTGAAATCATTGGGACAGCTCTATAAATCACTCTGCTTTGACTATTGATCCAAATATAGTGTGCTAGGAAAGTTTCTCCACACTGGGCCAAGTCAGAGCCTCCGATTAAAAATGTCAATGATGTTGGTAGCAAACAGATCTCTGGGAAACAAGTAAAGAGGACAACATTGTAGTGAGTGCAGTATTTACATTTTGTTTTGTTACATGCCGTTACCAACATAATTTCGTTGCAAGAACAAGGGGCCACTGCAGAAACTCTTTCCTGACACGCTGACTTACCACATGTGATTGGAAGAAAATGATTGAGTCTGGGACACAGTGACCCTTTTCATGGGGTGCAAAGGGGCCAAAGAAAATATGTTTGTATATCGTTGTCTTAGTTGCATTACAACTAAGCTTTCTGGAGTAATTTAGTTGTTATGAAATCTAAAAAGCTATGTATTAGATATCTTCATAAGGCATGAATACTGTGCTCTTTCCAAAGCATTATTTCACACAAGATACTACTTCGGGGGAACTGCAGCCATGTAAATAATATTCTCAAACTGCAGAAAAGAGTAATTTGGATATTAGTAAATGCACACAAGCTGGCCCATTGATAGCTGTTGTTTAGAAAATTAAAACTATTAAATGTAATAAATCTGAATGTCTATACCATACTATGCTATGTGGAAAATAATATAATAGTTTTGCAATGCAGGAATGATGTGCACTCCCTCAACACTAGAAATAGTAGGCATATAAATGTAGCAAATCACAGACTCTCAAAGTCACTAAACTGCTTTGAGGCATAAGGCTTGAAACTCTGTTAGAAGTTACATTTAAAATTAAGAGAGTTGCCTGTAAAGATATTCAAACAAGCTGTATGATTGGTTGCTTGCAACACCTTTCTACCCAATCCAAGATTTTTTGGAACATAGACACACAGTAATTTTATTTTTATAATGGGTAACTGAGTACATAAGTACACATTTGTAGTGTTTTTGTGCATTTGTACAATTCTTGTTTCTGTACTTTTGCTGTAAGTCCTTGTAAATGTGTTTCGTTATACTTTATATTGTAATATATTTTGAAACTACAATTATACTACTGTAACTTAAAATGTTTTTTACAGATAAACTATGTAATATACAATCGTAACTATATTATATTACATTCTTGGCAATCCGGGATGAGCTGCGTCTTGGTCAATTGGGCTGACGTTTCAGCCATCTTGCTGCGGCCTTCTTCAGAGCCAGTATATACCTCTGCAGAAGGACACAGCAAGATGAAACGTCAGCACAATTGACCAAGACCCAGCTCATCCCAGATAGCCAAGAATGTATTGACTCCAGCAGCAGAAGCCTACCAATGTCTATCAGATGTTGTCTATTGCTGCTCACACAGCTTAATGACAAACAAATAAATTATAATATTATTATAGAACATGCTTGATCACTAATGAAACTAGCATCCTATGTATAATAATTGTCAGTAAGTTTGGAACTAACTATCATGAAATTGGGACAAAGTCGCCTGTTTTTATAGTAATGATTATGGAGAAATAGAAAACTCAAATCTATGGTCACAGGGTAAAAGTTCTTAAGTCAAAAATCTTAGTCTGGAAAAAACCAGGAATTATTGAGTTGTCTATATTTCCCTAAGACAAGCTATATTACTCAATGCTTTTTTGTTGTTAAGAAGGCAACATTTGAAATCGGTAGTTTTATTAAAATAAAATATAGATACCTAACTTGTAGTTTCAGTGCTTAACCCAATTTCGTCAAGAATTGACTTAAGTGACTTAATTGACCTGTGACCACAGAAATAATAAGTTTACCTATGAAGATGATACTGAAATAATATCCTTTGCTAAATCTATGATGCTCCATTACACATTTCAAATCTCTAAATGTTCATTTTTTTATTAAGATGCAGCATCAACCAACGTCATCCCTTTCACGTAAATCACAATCGTATCTTTTAGTATTAAGTTTCACTGGCACTGTGAAACATGTAACAAGAAACATATATAGTTGTAATACATATATAGATTCAGATGCACTTTGGTAATACATAATGGCCACCAATAGCGAAGTAAAATATGCCTAAACACTATCATCCACTAAGTGCATCTGTTCATGCAGTACCAGCTCCTTCATTCAAGGGCAGAAGCAGAAATGCTAACTCTAGAACTGGCTGCTGTTCATTCTTTTCCCCACTTTTAAAAAGTGCACAGAATTGCAATGGAGTTTCCCACCAGTTCTGTCAGCTCAAATGATGATAGAAAATCTCTGTAGGAAAATAATCTATAGTTACATGGTGATTTTCACATACAGGCAAAATTTGTAGGCCCTTGGTAGCTCGTTGGTCAGGGAGCTCACTTTCCACAACACAACCCCAGGTTCGATTGTCAGCCAGGCAAAAATAATTACAGTGTGCTTTTCTTACAAATGTCCCTGTATCTATTGCTGTGTGAGGACGAGAAAGCCCACCCTAAGGTTACAAAAACCGAATTATACAGCGAAGGGATGTCTTTGTACTAATCACATGAATCCCTTATCCCATGGCCAAGAGGCTGAGTCACCGCTCGTCAGCCAAGGCTCGTAGCGGGCTGTTGAGCCCTAGGACAGGAGAGGTAAAATTTAATTCTCTAAGTTTTGCTGTCATTTCAAATTCTATTCTAATTTAAGAAGAAAAAACCAATAACAACACAGTTATTAAGAAAACATTCATATAATTTACAAACATCTAAAAACAATTATTACAAGCTTGATTCACAATATACAGTTGTTGTCAGATTTAATACCACTAATAAACATTTGTAAAAAATAAATATATTGAAACATGATATCTTGCACTAGATCACATAGAGTATTTCACAGTTTCCAGAATTTTAATAATGAAGAGAAAGATTAAAACACTTAATATACATTTCTTTTAAATAATTACACAAGAAAAGTACAGAACACCTTGCGTAACACAGTGAACTCAAAGAAGAAAGTTACACATATGAGAATCTCAGAAAATGTTGTCTAGCATTTCCAATACTTTCAGAGTAATTTAACTTTCCATGATTTTGCTTGAAGTAAGTAAGCCAAATTTTTAAAATAGATATAAACAGTTGCAAAAGAAATTCTATTAAAAATATGAAGTGTCATTAAATATTCATTTTAAAGTGAACAATGATTTCTCTGTTAAAATGTTGTACAAAACAGAGTTATCGGTGCAATTTTTAGCAAGAAAGGGAAGACAACAGTTTGGTCATTTCTAAATCTTCAATAACTATGCCAAATAATTCTTGAATAAATAAGAAGTCCATAGGCTAAAAGTTATGGACACATATATTGAAAGAAAATGGAATTTTAGTGTCTTAGTGGTAAGTACACATTGCCGAAACAAAATAAAATGTATGAAATTCAAGATGTTTTCCTACATATTTTATACCCTTATTTGATGTTTTACAATGCAATCTCAAGAATAATACACAAAATTATTTTACAAAATACATCTAATTCAGTCACAGATTCCATAGATTGCATGTTTAATCTCAGAACTTCTAAATATACATTGTAAATATTGTGTATCAGAACATGTGTATATTATAATATATCAGAACATGTATATACACGTACAGACTTTTTTCAGAAACTTTAAATCATTGCTTGTTGGAGTCATACTTCCAGATATTGGCACACATGATACATTGTTTTTGTTCCATCAAAATGGACACGACATTTCTTCCAACAGAAGTAGTGTGAAAGTTTCTTATAATTAGAAGTTATGTAATAACAACTTGTTTCAGCTATTGTATACTGTTTTGGTTTATCTAAGTAACTATAATATTACAGTTAACATTTTCACATAGATTTTACCTACATCCAGTTTTACTGCTTAAACCAATAATGGGAGTATAACATTAATGAGTAGAATTTATATCAGCAAAACATGTTAAAGTTTCAGAGAGTTGATGTTACAAATTATAAACTGTTTCACTCAGATGATCAGCGATATGTTAATACTGATTGATGAAATTAGAGGGTCTTATAAGTAAAATGGAAAAAGTAAGTACAAGAGTTGTCACAAAGTTGTTGACATAAGTGAGATTTTACTTCCTCGTAAGTACTAGTAAATAAGTAATCTTGCATATGAAATCAGATGTTTTGTAAATTTCTACACCAGTTTTGAAGAATTATGTTATCACAGACCAAACATAAGCACTGTTTGAATGAAAAGTAATATCAGAAATAAATAGAAACTTTTAAGCTTCTTGCTTTTCTTATTTTGTACATTAAAATCATGGAGTGTTACTTCTTGATGCAATGCACAAAGGAATGAGAGCAACAGAAATAAAAAAACCATGAATTATTCACATAGTGAATATTGCACTTGGTCTCCGTACTGACCCTGAATATCCTTGCACTTCAGACGTAACTGCCTGGAATTACGCACCCTCACACCAATTGACGAAAGAGAATTTCTTCGATATCTATATTGTTCTTATGAAGTTCAGTTCATTCTCTTCCATCCATGTTGATGGAACTGAATGCACATAAAAATCACTTAGAGTCATTTTCTCTTTCAAATGTTTTCTCAGGAGCTTACAACTGCCTTTTTAGGGGCTTTTGTCCGACTAGTTGTTGCTCCTGCCTCTTCTTTGGTCCTTTTTGGTCGTAAAATGAAGTTGAGATTATAAGCAGTGTTTACAGCGTAATATACATTTGCATTTGGAGGAAGAACCATTTCTGGAAATTACAAAACAAGATTATTAACTAGTTGCCTAGTTTCAAAAACAGTTTCATGAAGAGTAATACCAATTATATAAATTTTTCATTTTGTATTCAAGTCTGGATGCATTTGCACAAAATACATTTCTTGTTATCGAATTTTACAATTTCATTTGTAAAATGCTTTCTTTTGATTTAGTGATACTAAATTGAGCAAAGAATAGCACATGATCTTTACCTTTATCAGGTAAAACCTGAGCAAGGGTGTACGACTCAGGATTTCCTTCCAAACCAAGTTTCAGCATTGCGTTCCGAATGACTTGAGGCGTCCTTTCATTGTTGCTTAACATAATACTTTTATATAACACTATTCCTGAAAATAAGTAAAAAATTATTAATGACATTAATGTAAAGGACAAATTGTGGTTGTACTTTCATGAACCTGAAGCTAGGAAACAAAGAAGACGGAAGCTAAGAACTAGGAAGCAAAGAAGCTAATTAATAATGAATTTGTTATATATAGAAAGGAATTGAAAGAGATTCAATTTGTTTTGAAATAGCACTAATGCATACAGCTGTAGCAAGCAATATTGCCATGAACTTACCATCAATTTCATCAGATGATGTTTCCACTGTGACCCTAATAATATAAAAATCATGAGACTTTTGCTGTAAAGAGCTGGGTGTATGAGAAGGAACGCTCAGTGATTTGTTTGCTGTGCTTCCACTATGATTCCCAAGAGAAGTGTTGGTGTTGCTGCTGCTCATGGACACATCAAGGGATGGCAGCGATGAACTACTTGATGAGGAAGACATTTGAGAAGGTGATGTCTGGAAACATACATGAACATGCCCGTTAAATCCACAAAACCATTTGGAAGCTCTTTTACAAGTGTTATTATTTATTGACATCTTAAATAATGATTGATTTAAGATTATCAGGCATGGATCCCTGGAGAGAGAAATGAGGGAAATCCCCCGCCCCCTAAAATTATTCAGTAACTATTCATTTCAACTTGGCATCACATTTTCAAGCAAAAATATGTTTGGATTATCATTACAATGAATAAAATGGTATCACAGTATGAGCTGAGTCTAACCTGCGACATTGTACAAAATCTGTAATATGATATATTTTATGCAAACATTTTGAATCTCCCCTCCCAAAATTTGTCTTCCCCTGAGATGATATACTAATCCTCAATTTACCTTTCTATCTAAGGAATTATGCGGGGATGAAGGTAGACTGTCTAAGTCACAATAGAACTGGCTGCTTGAGCTGCTGGAAGTACTTGCAATAGAATCATTTTTCCGATGGCCCAACCTAAAATGATAAACAATTGTAATTGCATGTAATTGTATTTGTGTAGAGTAAATGATCTGTGTATTTCAAATGAGGTATAATATTTAATTAATACTAACATTACAATGTAAATTATTATGTTCATTTAAAGGTACTGACAAAACTTTTACTCACCCTGTTCGTTTTTTAAACCTATTATCTCTCATGGTACCAGATGTGCCTGAACCTTGACCAGGAACTGGTGGTTCTATCTGACATGACAGCTCATAAGCTTCTCTATCATCCAGAACAAGAATAGAATCAAACCATCGATCAAATGAAGGGTCCTCAGGTAAATTATAAGCGTTAGCTGCACCTTGTAGTAATTTAATCTGCAAAATATTAAGAAATAAAATATACCCTTAATAGTTCATTCTCAGTAAATGTGTTTTCATGTGTGTTTGTATTTTTAACCTGAGAATAAAATAGATATGGAGGTATTTACCTGAGCTAGGACTTCAAATTCTTTTCGTCTTTTATCAAAATTGATTAAACCTTCTCCTACAGTATCAGGAATGGCTGTATCAATCATTGTGAGGTCTGTTAAGAACGTCCCCAGATATGGAATTGTTCCATGACTAATTTGCTGCAAAGAAATTTTAACGTTTGTTATTGTCCCTTTTCTATAACAACATAAATCACTTATTTTTGTAATTAAATATAGAAGAAGAGAATAAGAAATATTTTAATGGGTTAACAAAAATTTTGTTTCGATCAGCGCTAATAAATATAATTTTTTTAGATATGCAGAAAAATTATGCTTATTCTGAACAGGCTAAAACTTATTTTTATGACCTGAATTTTTCATTCAAATAATTTAAGGATAAAATATTTACAATTACATGACTATTTTATCCCATACATTTCACAGTGTAGAAAAAAATATTCCAACTTACTCCGCTATTGTTAAGCTGCCTCTGAAAAACTTTTTGCAGTTGCCTATCATTTTCTCCAACAGTATCAGCAAATTTTGCAGTTCCTTCCCTCATTAGCAACTCTCGTTGAGCCCACTGGTTATTGTCTTCACTAAATATCCTAGCAAGTTCTTCAAAAAGTTCAACCTGTTGCCAAGAAAGTTATTTTAACACACAATTGACACTCTCATAAATATCAACAGAAAAATTAGATTATCACTCTTACCTTCTCCCTTGGAACTGCTTGCCATGACTTCTGTAACCTGTATACAGGATTAGATTGAAGACCAGAAATAATGGCTTTTAATGAAGAGAAATTTTTGAGAACTCTTAGTTCCTGAAAAAGATCAATTTTATTTTCAATGACAAAGGAATTATAACACAAATACAAGTTAGAAAATACAAAAGATAAGGCCACTAAAATATTAGCACAACTTTAATGAATAAATTTCTCTCACCATGAAATCATGAGAGAAGTGAATCAAATATCATTTTAGTTAGAAAATTTTGCAAAAGTTTCTCATTCACTGTCAAAATGAAAATAATATGTGATTAGTACCTGAGCAATATCAATCCATGTGCCAATGACTCTTGCTCTCTCTCCAGGTCTTATATCAGGTTCCATTAGCACAGTACTGATGACCCGTAAAGACACAGCATTGAACTGATTAACGGTTGCCAGAACAGTTGCTGCTTCATGGCTGCGGTTTTTGTCTCTTCGAGACCACACAGCACCAAGGCATTGATGAGGCACCAACTTTTTGAATAATTCCTAAAATTTATCCAAAAATACTGTGTATAGAGTTTTGTTTTATTACAATTTTAAGAAGAAAGTGTCACACATGTCTCATTGTTTTCTTCTTAATTTATATAAATGTGAATAATTGTAAAATTACTTTGTCACATGTAACATTTCTTATGTTGAAGTTTTATTTGACTGTTAATTTAATTAGTTTAATTAATTTAATTAGAAACATCATATTAGAGATGCTCAAGAAGCAAATCCTATTTTACCCAGTAGAATGTGTTAAGCTTAGCTTCATACATTTTAATTATTCTACCAGTAATTTATTTTCCAATCATTCCTCACCTAGGTGAATTGTTAAATAAATAATATAATTTAAGAAGTTTAAACAATGATTTATTACAAAAATTTTCCGTATACCTGATGCTGCAGGTAAGTTGATAATGTCTTACTTACCATATCCATTCTTGTGAGCTGTTCAGCAAAATGCCTCTCAGGTACATCAGGAAAGTGATACTGCTGTGAAGAGTTGCCATTTGCTATTGCTGGATGAAAATATAAACTACTGGTAGGATAATCAGCACACGAATCTGTAAAAGAGTGTCAATCAAAATGTATTATAACAATGTTTGCATAATAGTACAATTTTCATATGTACAAGAAAATGGCATCATTATTAGGGAGCCGATTTCTATGATTTTGCATATTTTTATACATTGTGTCAGGGCACAGCCAAGTGAAATTTCTTAGCATTTAGTTAGTAGTGGATGCTATGTAAACTAACATGTTAGTGCATATTTGTCTGATTTTTTCTGTTGGTGCATATGCATGAAATTATAGGCGCATATTTTACATATTTCATTCAGACCAAAACATACCATGTACTTCACCAAGGAGAATATTTACTTCAATTATTTCTCCTGACAAGTAAGTTAGATTTTATTATGTTTGCACAAAAATATATCTTTTCAATCAAAGCATACTTCTTCTGAATTTTATCAAGAAAGGTTTATGAATGAAATATTGTTAATTTGTATTGCATAATAAAGAACATATTTTGGATTTTTTAGGTCATAAATGCACATTTTTAAAACCATATTTCAAGATTTTTTAGGGCAAAAAATCCTCTCCCAAGTCATTATTGTTTCATTAACGAGAATTTACTCACCCAACAATTGGTCTTCTCGATTGAACCTATCTAACCTATGTCGAACTTTCACTTCAAGTTCAGATTCAGGAAGATGCTGCTGACAAAAATACAGCAGCTGGTGAAGAGTTGGGTGGGTAGGAGGATCTCTGAAGTCTTCGGGATAAGAATCCAACCACACATGAAGAGCTAAGACGAGAGTCCTGCAAAATTCAACATTGAAATGTTAGTAATATGTTAAAGCGTTCAAATTTTAATGAATCAGTTCAGAAATTTTCAAAGACTACTCACTTTCTATGCTGCCCCATAACATCTTCAGGTAAATCCAACTTATTGTTTGCCAGCTGCTCGTACCTGCACACAAGAAAAAAAAAACATTATGTTGTCTGAAATACAAAACTTTTTTTCATTTAATTGTTTTATTTTTCATTCACTAATTAATTTTTATTAGCAAGCAGAAACAAATGATTGTCAAGGAAAATCAAGAGTCAGAAATGAAGTATGAATAGATGAACCTTGTAGAATAGACTTCAATTAATGTCGAACTATACAAGAGCTGAATTTTGAATAATTGGTGATATTGGCAATTTGTTTCAATGAATCTAAGAAACCGCATACTTCATCAATATGTAAATGAATGGTCAATCACATAGTAGTGCCCTTTAATGAATGGCTTAATTATTCATAAACAAGTCATACATACAAATTGGAATAATTGTATGCTGTGATGAGGTTAGAGGAGTTGTGCCCTGTCCCTCTAGAAATTGCACGAAAACAAATTGCTCATACAACACGAAAATTGTTAACAAAGAGCTTCATTACCATTATTTAATTTCATGACTGTTAAAGACAAGATTATAAAAGCTGGTAAAGAAGAATGGTGATTCAATGCCATTCAATCCATGCCCTCTTTTCAAAGGATTGGTAAGCCTAAGTTATTTAATAATTGATCATCGCCATGTGTCTGTTCAGGAATGTAACTATTATTGAGGAAGGGGAAAAATCTCTCTCTCAAAATAAAATAAAATAAAACATCACTTCAAGTTGTAAGATCAGTTCATAGCTACCTGTTGGTATTGTAGCAAAAGTTAAGTGAAATCATTTTACATGAACAGTATTAAAAAATCATAAACCATAACAAGGCCATTAAATGCTATTGGTATCAAAATGCATCATTTTTTAAAAAAATTTGTTTCATGAAATACTATGTAAAAAGGATCTCCGACAGTTTAGTGAATGTTCTTATGTCACTTTTTCACTCATTTTTTATTAATTTAAAAATTTCCGCTTAATGTACTTCTGACTGAACAGTCACACATTGAAGGCATGTTATTTGCATGAGAGTTGTGTCAGTATTTAAATGTTTTAAAATGTACTGAGTTATATTAGGTAATTTCAGGTAAAACCTTCAATATCTCATAACTGTCAATGTGGAATATCTCCTCATTCTACTGAACTCTTCAATTTTTAGTATTTTTGTCGATTGATTGACTGTTAGTGATTCCTGGCGCGTCATCTGCTAAGGTAATTAGTCCCGTAAGCATAGTACATGTATTTTCGTCGAGAGGTGGTTGCGCTCATCCCCCGCTGGAGGCAAGATCCGGCGTCGTTGTACAGTCAGCTAACGCAGTTTCCCTCAACAAGGTATCTCCCACCAACGTGGCACCGCTCTAAGCTCTAAGCTCCCGACCGATCTCCCGCTGTGATAGTGTAGTGCATGTGAGTGTAAGTAAGGTGAGAGGGTAGGGCGAGAGAAGGGGCCATGGCCCGTTTGTAAGAGGACTGCTCCGGCATTCGCATGGTGTTGATCGGAGAAACCACGGAAAATTACCGATCAGAGCAGCCGGCTTCTAGAATTCTCCTCCAGACAGCGGCTGAACTCGACCTAGCTGACAAGCTAGTACCGAAAGTCCTGCCACCATCGGGACTCGAACCTAAGACCAGCCGGTCAGAGGCACTACAGTGACATCAGTCGATGCCCTGAGCCACCTCTCCTGGTATTTGTTTTTAACGACAATGAATCTAAGCCAAGAGGACAGCTGCATTTGAAGGACCCACCTGTCGAGCAGCAGGCTGAGCACCTGCTTGGCCGTGGCGAAGGTGCGGTAGGTGGTGAGGAACACATTGATGTAGGTGGACTCGAGCTCCCCGTCGTCGGTGGCCAGGCTCTCCACCAGGCGCTGCAGGGTGCCGGCCTTGACGAAGCGCACGCGCACCGTCTCCCACTCCAGGTGCGAGATCTCGTCGTCCGAGTCCTGCAACAGCCCCGCCGATCCATCAACAGGCAATCAGACGCTACGTACGTTTTTCGCTTATTTCTATTTCCAACTGGTAGACCCGGCAATGCTTCGCTATTGCAGTGTCAGCCCGACCAACATCGTCACCTTCAACCAACAGTCAAGAGTTTGAGAAATTGCATCCTTCTTTTAACTTTCTCCCCGCGGAATACAGAAAAAGTTATGTGTCGCTGCGCGAAAAAACGGCAAATTTTCGGCAGAGAAACTCTTATTACAGGCCCCTGGCAACGAAAAAGACGGATAATCCAGATGCTAAATCTAGAAGAAAATTCTCTAACTCATTGCGTAGCCAGAATCCATGTCTTGTGGTTCCTTCATTCCGAAAAATCGAATGACAGCAAAACGTCTGTCAGTCCGTTTGTAAACAACGCTAGCGACGAAACCGTTTAGCCGATTTTCTTTAAAATTGATATTCCCAAATCGATCAGGCTCATGTCGCGGTCCCTCGAATTTGAAACCGATATTTTATTTTTGGAGATTACATTACAGAAGCCATTAGGAAATTTTCAAAATTAAAAAGAAAATTGCTGTGTTTTTTATTAAATTTTGTTATTGGATAGTGTAAAACATGAAAAATAATGTTCCTCGACACACACATAAGCAACTTTCTCTGAGAAATCTTTAACTCATACAAACAACAAATACTGCAAATGTTTTTCGTATGCCCTATTCTTCAAAACACTTTCCATGTGAAGTGTAGCAATTTTTTATTCTATTCTGTGTATTGTCGTTCCCCATCAAGCCAAGTCAAACTACTACCCGTGAATCACGAATAACCAGAAAACATACATAAAGCAAGCCATTCCGAAAGCAATCTCGGGAGGAAAGAGCGACACTTCACACAGCGCGGTGCCGCTGTCGCGCCGCCGCCGCCGGCAGCCAGCACGTGGCCACCTGCGCGCCTGGAGGAGGTTCAGCGCTTCAAAGCGAAGAGACGAGACGAGACGAGACGAGACGCGCATGTGGGAGGGGGAGGGGGCGAAGGGCGGCGAACGCATGAATGGGCTGAGAGCGGTCGAAAAACAAAAAGGGGCTCTTCTGTGAGAAACGAAAACAGAAACAGACAGTGGTGGATGCAGGGGTGGCCATGTCCTCCCCAAAAGGACTAGAGTTCTCGTTTTTTCACTTTCCTTCATTAGGCAAAATTGATTTAAATATTTATGTTATAATTATTTATAATTATGTTATTATTAAAGAAGTATTGTGTTATATATATATATATATATATATATATATATATATATGTGTGTGTGTGTGTGTGTTATATATATACTACAAAAATGACACACAATATAATAATCAATATATTTATTACTTAACAATAATCTACGCCCCCCCCCCGAAAAAAATTGTCTGGATCCACGCTTGGAAAAAGAGGCGGCGAATAGAGAGGCAGCGACAATGAGGAATAAGAGCGGGTGTTCTGAGGAGGCCGTGGAATGCCATTATCCCTTGGGATGTTACTTAAAAGGAGGCAAATAACAAACGGAAGGTGAAGAAATTCAAAAGGTACAACGATATGCAGACCTGCGGGACAGCGACGAGCAGTGCCGGTGCCAGACGAATTTGGGCCCGGGCCAACACTGAAACGTAGCCTCTCGAATTAAAAATGTGAAAGTTGTATCAAGAAAAAGTTTTGTTGTCTTTTTTCAACAAATAACAAAACTTACAACGTTCAAGAAAAAACAGATTTTGGAAATATATTTTAAACAATAGTTTTGTGTAAAAATATGTGATCAAATAATACAATATCCACTGTGAGCTTAAATTGCTAAAAATTGTTGTGTTTAGTTAGTGTTTAATAAAATCACATGAAATAATCAATATGAATTTCAGTAAAACCTATTTTAATGTTAGTGTCATTTGATTCATTTCACAGAGTTCTCCTCATAAGCACCGTAATCCTTATAATTAACTACTTTAGGTGAATAATAATTTGAAAAAAAATATGAAATAGAAGACCACTGTACCGCGAATTATAAAATTACGATAACGATTTTCTCGAGTTCTAATTTGTTTTACTATTTTTCCCCATCAGTCCCGTCATCGGGTTCCTTGACATGTGGGGCCCCGGGCGATCGCCCGATTCGCCCACGCCTAGCGCCGACACTGACGACGAGAAGTGGCGTAGTAATACGTGAGCGCTCAGAGGAAGGCAGAGAGGATAAACGTTCGAAGCAGCTGCGAGAAACAAGAACAGGATACTCGTAGCGCCTAACCGAAGACGTCGAAAGCGGGGCAGCAGTGGACAGAGGCGGAATGACTCACAGCAGATCCGCCACGCAGAAAAACTAAAAGGAAAAGTCATGAACGAGGAAAACGCAACTGATGAGTTTGAGTCTTTCACATCCGCACCTGTATTCAAATAAACACTGCGAACAGTCGTTCTTTGAACTTCAGTGATGACAAATTGGATCAAGTCCGTATTTACGTCACTGAAGAAGTCACCGCCGCAAATATACGATTAAGTTGAATTGGGGATATAAGGTATACGAAACAATTAAGAGGAATATTTTTCAAAGGTTAATTTAATGTAACTTTTTTTTCTATTACGAGAGTGAAAATTCATCATATTTCAGTTATAGTCTTCACAATATAATTTTCGCCACTCGACCCATCTCAGATCCGAGTCTGTACTTGTGGTTTACGTTCCGTATGCTCAATGTATCATTAGTTCCGAGTTGCGCATTCTCATTTGTTGACTGATTGACTGTTAGTGATTCCGGACGCGTCAACGGCTAAGGTCATTAGTCCCGTAAGTATAGGGCATGTTTACCCTCGGGAGGTGGTGGTGATCTTCCCCAGCTGGATGGCGAGATCCGGAACCGGCCTACTGTCGACTAGCGGGGTTTTCCCCAACTAGGTACCTTCCAACAGCGAGGCACCGCCACAGTCGGGAGAAGCTTAATGCTCCCGACCGGTCTCTCGGCATGTGTGGGAATGTAGTATGTGTGTGTAAGTAACATGAAGATGAGGATGAGTTGAGGATAGGACAAGGAAGAGGAAGGAAAGATCGCGCAAGGTTCGTGGCTCGGTTTTTTAGGGCACTGCTCCGGCATTCGCCTGGCGTTGATCGGAGAAACTTCCGATCAGAGCAAGCGGCCACTCGAATTCTCCTCCAGACAGAGACTGTAGTCAACCTAGCTGACAAGCTATAGTGTCGATCATTCTGCCTTCGTCGGGACTCGAACCTAGAACCTCCCTGTCAGACACTGCAGTGACATCAGTTGATGCCCTGAGCCACCTCTCCCGGTTTTCTCATTTGTCAAAAAATGCATTAGATCAAATAAATTGCAACGCTTCATTGAAGCTATTCTTAGTTTTCTCGTAGACCAATCATTATGCGTAAACATTATATTGATCGTGTCAAATTCGATGTATGCAGTACCTTTGTTCCAGTATTCCACCTTGTAGAGGGAGTCTTGATTCCTAGTATATCAAACGATTCCAACGCGAAGTCGTGAGAAGGCGGGTATTCGGTGAAAGAACGGCAAATCCCACCTTAGCGCCGTTACTGATTGCGCCTGTTTTCCTCTCCCTCAATTGTTTTCCGAAGGCCCGAGAAGTCGGCTAATCTCTCGGGACCCTGGTGAAATTTGATACCAAAGTTGGAAGTGCCAGAGGTCCGGAAGTTTGAGGACACGCTTCGCTAGCTGCCACCTTTTTTGTCTCAGCCTCCGAGGAAGCAGGGTTCCCTGCCGGGATGCACGGCGAAGGCAGCGGCTTACAAGGGGCACCCAGGGTTAGGTAATGCACGACTGAAAGGAACTCGGCGTGCAGGTAGGTAGTTCTTTATGAGTACGCGAGTTTGTGTACGTGTTTTTGTAGGACACAAAGGACACGCGGTACATGTAGAATTCGGCATCTAGAATCACTACTAGAAGAACATTGAATATGCATATTTTTCCTCTTCACGTTTTCGATGTTCCACTGAATCCTTCCAGGTTTATTTATACTTCGTTTATTTTCATGTGGTGTCCATTGCTATTTGTAGTAGTACCTCCTATTTACATATAGATGAGCCTTTAATAAGATTCTTTTTTTTTGTTTGCAATAGCATTTTCTGTAGTTTCATTTACAAACGTAATTTTTTTTTTGTGTAGCCACAATTGTTTTGCCATTATCCCTTGAGCGACAAGTTACTAAAGAGTTTGCAAATGTTCCAACACTTAAATATGTTACGATTCTATTTCGTAAAGGATTCATTTCATTCTTTATCGTGAAATGTAGCGTACTATTTTAATTCATTGATTGATAGCGATTCTGGGCGCATCAACTACTAAGGTCATTACTCCCGTAAGTGTAGAGAATGTTTTATTTCCTCCGGGGGTGACTTCCCACGCTGGATGGCTACATTCCGCGCCGAACTACTGTCGGCTAGCGAGGGTTTTCTTCAACCAAGTATCTCCACCAGCGGGTCACTGCCCCAGCCGGGGCAAGCTCTAAACTCCCGACCGGTCTCCCGGCATATGTGGTAGAGTAGTGCATGTTCTTGTGTGTAAGGGATGAGGATAGGAGAAGGAAGAGTTAGGAAAGATTGCGCGGTCCGTGGTCCGTTTCTTAGGGTACTGCTCCGGCATTCACCTGGGGATAATCAAAGAAACCACGGAAAACTACCGATTAGAGCAGCCGTCGGCTAGAATTCTCCCCCAGAGGGATTAAAAACTCGATCTACCTATCTAAGTAGAGTTGAAATCCTGCCACGGGGAGAGTGGGTACTAGGACCTCCCGGTCAGAGGCACTGCGGTGACATCAGTTGATGCCCTGAGCCACCTCTCGCGGTCGTACTATTTCCATGTAATAGGTTAAATGCGGAGCGCTCTTAACACTACTTTCTGTGCTCTTCTTTCGCCCTCCGCGGACCAGCCTGTGCCCCGATCGCCCAGCGAAGGAGGGACGGGTGGGGGCCACCCGGGACCAGGTGCGGGAAAAGAGGTTGAGACAGGATGTGACTTCTTCGAGTCAAAAGCGACGAAGGCAGGGCTGGCTTAGTGGCGTGAAAATAAACGGGTGTTCTGTTACGCGTCGGGCGATGGAGCCGCAGGTAGGCGAGACAGAGGTGAGCCGAGGGAGCGGTAGGGTAGTCGCCCGTACGGTCGCGTCCCCCGGCTTCGCCCGCCAGCGGAAGCCACAACAGGTCTATTCATAATCTTCCAGGCGCTAATGTACAGGTAATTGACGTTTACTGCAAACTTAAAATAGTATGATCATTACAGTGAAGAACCATCAAAATAAACTTTAAATTATAAGTAAAATCTCTATTCTTGAAGATGGTAAAAACAATTTAGTCCTTACCGACCTAATTTTTTTAATAAACGAAGTTTAAATTAGTACATGCTCTTGTGGAAAAACTTTCGCGAGCTTAGGTTTATTTAAGTTATTGAACTACCATTTTGCTTTGTTCGATATGTAGTAAATGTTTTGAGAAATCATATGATATTAAATGTAACATACCTCACTGACATTCTGACGAGTAATTTATAAAAAAACTGCTGCGGAATGATCGCAACCAGAAGTACTGACTCTCGACCTAGGAGTTATGCTGTACAAATCATACTATTGTCAGCACTGTTGCTCTTTAAGCACGAAAGAAAACCGCCCTAACTTAAAATTGTGTATCACGCACAACCACTCGTCATTTGCCGATAGTCCCACTTTCAATGCAAGTAATGTTCACTACAGAAACAAA